AGGCAATTAATAATGTTTTATACGTATTAATATCTGGTTTTACTACTTGACTTGTCAACATACCATTATAAACCGCGTATGCTAAATCCGTTCGTTTGGCACTACCAAATACATTAATGTATGCGTTGTAAACTCTTGTAGTTTTATTACTTGAAGGTATCCTCTCAAAAATTTTAATGGCTACTTCCAAAATTTCTTCAACTGTATAATTAGATTCCTCGGGAATTTCTATCCAATAATTTTTTAAATCTTCATTAATTGAACTTATTAAAATCATCTCTTCATCATTAGAATTTATCGTTGTTTGTTTATGCTTATTTGTTTCGATTTCATCTATTAATCTAGTGCATGCTTTAAGTGCTGCGACTATACTATGTTGATGTGGTACATGGTGTTTGTAAAAAAGTCGATTTACTAAATTCTTGAGTTGTGCTATATTATTACAATGTCTAAATTTCGTGTCAAAATTTTCTGTCAAGGATGAATTCTGTGATGAATTAATCGTTAATGAAGTTGGATATATTGTAATATTTTGCTTAAATATATTATTATTATTATTATTAACATTTGGTGTCAAAACTTTGGTTGTTAACCTACGTTTAATTTGATCAATTGACTTATTTTGAATAGTAATTTGTCGAATCATATTAAATTTTAAAAAAATTATTTGAGATTCTCGTAAAGATAATAATTTTATCATCATAAAAAAATACGTAATAATAATAATAATAATAATAACTGATAATAATAATAGTTAACGTTAAAAAAAAAAAAAAAAAGAATCGATTTATAATCTGCCAGTTATCTTTATTTTTTTTTTATCAACAAAATAAGTTATCACATGATAAAATGTGATAACCTTTTACGTAACCTTTGAATTTCATCAATTATCGTTATCGTTATCGTTATCATTAACGTTAAATTAAATTAACAAATTGCTCTTAAAAAAAATGAATAATGAAAAAGAAAATGAATCTCCTGGAGATCCAATGGATGTAGATGTTGTGGATGTTGTGGAAAATGTAGCCACTCCAGAAGTGCCTTCAGAAGTGCATTCTGAGGTACATTCTGAAGTACATTCTGAAGTACATTCTGAGGAAATACATTCTGAAGTACATTCCGAAGTACATTCAACTGATACGCCGACATCTGTAAAAATAAAAACGAAAAAATCAAAATGGGAGTCTGAAAGTGAAAACGAGATGCCAGAAAGTGAACGAAGAGTTAACAAAAAAAAGCGTGCCGCGAAAAAAGCTTTAAAACCTACCGTTGATTCAGAAGCTGACGAGTTTGGCTCGCAACAAGAAAGTGCAACTGAAAGTGTAAAACGTTTAAAAGTATCTGTCGAGGCTGCTGAATCTCCATCAATAAAATCCGCTTCTTCTATCGCTGAATCTGTAAACGAAGTCACTGAAGTTGCTACTCCACCAGAAAATACTGTTTCGACTCCACAAGCTACGGTTGAACAAATGATTAAACCTGTAGCCTCTTCAAAGCCTCCTATGCTTGCAGGTTGTCGTAGTGTTGATAATTATGAAAAATTGAATAGAATTGAGGAAGGTGCTTATGGTGTGGTTTTCCGTGCCAGAGATAAATCTACTGGTGAAATTGTTGCCTTAAAAAAATTAAAATTAGATAAAGAAAAAAACGGGTTCCCTATCACTTCTTTACGAGAGGTGCATACTTTACTTTTGGCTAAACATCCAAACATTGTTAATGTTAGAGAAATTGTGGTTGGTGATGCATTAAAACAGTACGTTTAAACTATGTCTTATTATCTCTTTTATTTATACATATTTTATTTATATCTTAAATTATTTTCATTATCTCTAGGATATTTATTGTAATGGATTTTATAGAGCATGATCTTAAAAGTTTAATGGAGGATATGCAAAGTCCTTTCTTACAATCTGAAGTCAAAACAATAATGCTTCAGCTTCTATCTGCTGTCGCAACGTTACATGATAATTGGATTATTCACCGTGATTTAAAAACTTCAAATCTATTATTAAATAATAGAGGTCAAATTAAAGTGGCTGATTTTGGTTTAGCTAGAAAGTATGGTAGTCCTTTAGGTCCAATGACTGAATTGGTTGTTACACTTTGGTATCGGTAATGTTCTTAATAATAGTCTTTTTTTTTATATTTAATTACTATTGAAATATTTAGTTAAATATTTCCTTTCAAAAAATAGAGCTCCTGAGTTATTATTAGGTGCCAAAAAATATTCTACGGCTGTTGATATGTGGTCCGTTGGCTGCATATTAGGGGAATTGGTAAATAAAGAACCTTTATTACCAGGTCGAACAGAGATTGATCAACTAGATAAGGTAATTATATATATATATATATATATATATATATATATATATTTAAATAAACACGTTTTTCGACTGGATTTCTAGGTGTTGTAATTAATGAATTTCTTAATGTTTATAGATATTTAAATTATTAGGCATGCCCAATGAAAAAATATGGCCGGGTTTTTCAAAGTTACCACATGCTAAAAATCTTCCTTATGTAAAACAATCGTAAGTTACTTGAATTATATTATAAATATAATTAATATTTTACAATATTATTAAATATTATTCTAATAAATTATATCGTTTAAGTCATAATTCGATACGAAGTCGGTTTCCATATTTGACTGAAAATGGTATTGACTTAATAGCAAGGTTGTTAACATATGATCCGGCAAAACGAATTACTGCTGAAGAAGCTTTGAAACATCCATACTTTACGTATGAATTTA